GGAGCTCTCTGGGAAGGCTCAGAATCAAACTGGCTATTAAATGTCACCTGGGCTAGTTAGTCCCCAAGGCTCTTTTCTGCACTGGGCTGGGCTACGCTGGGCAATAGAATTGCTAGGGAGCTTTTCAGAAATAGAAATTCCTGGAGATTTTGATTCTGTCAGTGAGTGTGAGTGGAGGATGGAGGTTAAGAGTTCTGAATGTCAAACTGCTAGAGTTTGCAGTCAAACTCTGCAAATGAAGCAGGTGACCTTGACCTGTCAGTTTCCTCACAGAATGAATGAGGGGAAGATTGGGGCCCGCTTCACAGGCAGCAGTTTTCTCTGCCTTCCTCTAGCTCTTGGGATCAGGGTTTTTATGACTCTCACCATCATTGTCGCCTTCTACTGCCCCCCCTTTCCTTCCTTCTTCCTTTCTTTTATTCTAATATTTCCTTACTCCTGGCATGCAAAAGGGCTTCCCTGAGGTGCAACCTGGTCACCTTCCATTGAGCAGCCCGGACCCCAGGTGGGGCCTGTCCCTCTCCTGGATCCCACACTCTGTTGCAGCAACCCAGGAAGGCGTTAGCATTTCTGGCAGCCATGGCAGTCTGCTGATTCATCCTGAGCCCCCATCAACTCAAGTTCTCTAAATTTTTTTCACAAGTTCCTCCTAAGCCACATCTTCCCCACTCACGCTTCTGCAGCCAAGTTTTCTGAACCTGATTGCAAACTCTCACATGTGCACCTAGTAAAGGTCATTTCAGCACATCCTTCCAGGTTAGGGAGATTCGGGGGGCTCTTGATTTCATTCTGGAGGAGAATCTCTAGTCCTCCAAGCTTCGTGCCATCTGCAGATGCCCTTAGCAGACTGCCTCTAGGTTTCCATCCAGCGGCCCATTTATTTACTCGCTTCTTTGTTTCTGCACCAAACAAGGGCTGAGATCCTACTGTGTGTACCCAGCCATGCGCTGGGCCCCAGGGACCGAACAGTGACTAGATGGATGAGGAAGCTGTGGCCTGAGTGGGAATGGGACTCATGCAAGGTCCCAAATCCAGTCAGTGGCAGGGCCAGACTGGGGTCCAGGCCTCTTTTCTCTATACTCACGGGGCTTCCGACTGCAGGGTTGGGGCAAGGCTCACCCTATTTTTCTGCCTTCCCCCTACCTGCTCTATGGACCATGACACCATCTGGGCTCACCTACCCCTACCTGCAATGGCATGAGAAACTCCAGGGCTGCCAGAGACCTTATCTGACCCCCTGAAGCAGAACAGGAGCCCCAGTGCTCACTGATGCAGGCCAGGACCCCACAGCCCTGTCTCTCCCAACAAGGGGCAGGCAGCCACACACTCAGGCATACTCATCACCATAAACTGTGCTCTGCTGCTGGCCTGCCTTACTCTGCAGGCCCCTCCCCACAGGGCAGAACTGCAACCTTCCTGGTTCTCCCAGAGCCTCCTGAGATAGCAGACCTTATGTATATACCTGGTTGCTTTGGCAAAGATCCAGAATCCAGTCAGGCTGAGGCTTGAGCTCGTCAGGGGGCTTTCCTGGGAAACAGCATGGTGTATTAGAGTTAAGAAAGTATGGGTCTGAGTTCCCTACAGAACCTAATATCTCCGAGATTCAGGTCCCTCAGCTCTTAAAGGAGACACCATTACCAGCCTCACTGAGTTGTGGGAATGCAGTGAGATGCTATTGGTGAAAGTGTCTGGCACGTGGTCAGAAACACGCTGATATCATCCCTTCCTCCCTTCCCTCTCTCCTTCCTTCTTCCCTCCCTTCCTCCCTCCCTCCCTCCCTCCCTCCTTCCTTCCTTCACTCCTTCCCCTAAAGGGGCAAAGCAAATGTGCCTCTGAAACCGGGCTTTGTTTCTCGCTGCACTCCTGCGAGCTGGGGGAAAGTTGGCAGGACAGGGCAGACTCGGGAGGCAGTAGGGCCAGCGGGTGGAGGCAGAGAGGGACAAAGTGTCCCTGGAGCTGACTAAGGGGCAGCTGAGGGGCTGTGAAGGAGCCACTTACCAGCTGTAAACCTTTAGCCAGTGCCTTCTCCTCTCTGAGCCTGTTTCCTCATCTGTAAGACGAGGGTGAGATGAAATGAGGATGTGAAATGCCTGGCACAGTGCTTGCACCTAGGAGGGGGCTCCACAAACGTTCCCACTCACTGTCCCCGGAAAAAAAAATTCCTAATTCATGGCTGGGAAACTTGAGCAAATCCCAGAACGGGACTCAGTTTCTTCTGACCCCACAGTCTGTGAGGAGCAGTGAAATCTTGCCTGGAGGGTCTCTGTGCCCACTGCTCTAGGGATTTGTTTAAAATCGTCACCAGCTAGCTCACTGGTGTCCAACAGCACCACCTAGTGGCCAAAAGTGGAAGGGCCCTCTTACCTCACCTCGCCTTGCCTGCCTCCTCAATCTCGCGTGTGTGTGTGTGTGTGTGTGTGTGTGTGTGTGTGTGTGTGTGTGTGTGTGTGTGTGTTTGGGGGCTGAGAGGGTCGCTGTTGTAGAATAGTAGGGCTGGGCCACTCATACCTTTATATCCCAGTAAGTGGAGCACTAATGCTACTTTTCAAGATGTCTAGTCCCTTCACTTCCCTCCCAACAACTCCTGCCATCCACAAATGTGTAGGACTCTGGGTAGGGCCCTTGAGCCTCACTGGGACTTAGTTTCCTCATCTAAGGATTGCAAGGCTTCAGGTTAGGGCTGATTCAGGCCAGGTGCCTGGGAAGTACCTGATGCCTACTGGGTACCATCTATGCTTGCTCAATAACCCAGAGAGACACAGTCTTTACACACCCTTTATATTTTTATTGAGGAGAAAGCTTTAGCATACAGAACAATTTCCTATCTTCACGACACAGTAATGCAACAAAAACACAATCACAATAATACATTTATTTCAAACGGGTTTCCTCCCGAGTCTCTGGGAATCCTTGGGCTGCCTTCATATCCCTGCATGCATTCCCCCCCCACCCCCCACCCCCCACCCCTCTCAACCCAAGAAAGTGCCCAAAGCCCATAGTTCCTCTTACAGCTCTTGCGGCTGTTAGATCACAACAAATATCGAAGATCTGGGGAGCGGGGGAGAGGGTCAAAGGGAAGTCCAAGCCCCCCTGCCCAGAGGGCCAGAAACCAGCTCACTGCTCATCTGCTCTTTCCCTGGCTGAGGCTACAAGGGCTCAGGGTGAGAAGCACCATGGGAACAGGCGGGGCCTGTGCCGAGGGGTCCCTGGAGGTGGGGGTGCAAGGCACCTGTCCTTTGCACTTCTCCGGCAGGGACAAGGGCAGCAGGGCCAGCGTGTCGACCTTCAGCAAACAGGGTCCACAGCCTCGAAGAATGGTGGTTCCTCTTCTGGAACTCTCTCCTGAGGAAATAGCTGAAAAACAGACAAAATTTTCTTTACAGGGTTCTTGACTCCTACACTGGTGGGGAGGGGGAAAGCCAGGCAACTCAAATGTCCAACAAATTAGGGGAATGCTTAAATAAGTGATTCAGTATGCATGACTGCATAGGTGGCAGCCATTTTAAAGCCTGCTGATCAACAGCTTGCAGGATGATCTCAGCTTTGAAAAGACGCAGCGAGAACACACTAGAAAGAAAGGCAGCAAAGTGTTCCTAGTGCTTGCGTCCGTGTGGTGGGATTCTCAATGTCTGGGGGTTTCTGTCCTTATAGTTTCCTCTATTTTCCAAACTCTCTATAATGACTATGTATTACTTTTCTCTTTGGTGGGGGGGGGGGGCTTTTTAAAAGGTAGCAACAGGTTATAGGAACCCCGCTCCACTGCTGCCCAGGCTGAGAATGTGTGATAAACAAAAGGGCTTCTCACCTCCCACTGATGAATAGAGACCTCACCAGAAACCAGCCGGGAGGACTGGGTTTCTCTGTGACTCCTCTTCCTCCAGCTTCTTCCTCTTGCCTCCAGGCTCAAAATCCTGAGGCTGGGCTGAGGTTATCTGGCAGACTCCGGTGAAGAACAGAGGTTTAATTCACTGTTTTCTTCCCTCTGGCCATAGACACTTTGGCTGCACTTGGCCAGCTGCCAGCACTGGGCAGGAAGCTCAGTGTCAAGGGCAGCTCAGGTCAGGCAGCTCAGGACTTGGCTGGCCCTCTGTGGCCAGAGTGACAGTGTGTGTATTTCCACTGCAGAAGCAGTGCATTCTGGACCCACGGCAGGCAGCAGGACTCTTTCTAAGGGTACTTAGGTTGGCACCCAGAAGTCCCAGGAGTTACTAGGAGGCAGTCACCCTCTCAAGCCTCACCCTCTAATCAAAGCCCCCCGCCAGGCCATGGCTTGCTCCCCATGTGAGAGACATGAGGACGTCCAGGCTGCAAGGCTGCAGTGGGTGCAGTCTCTGTAGAGAGAGCCTTCCTCTCTCCTCTCAGAACTAAGGAATCCTTTAAGTCGAAGTTAAAGACCAGGCCCTGGGCCCTCTCTCTCTTTGGTGGTGGGGGAAGGAAAGGCCAATTAGGCCTCCTCTGGAACCCCAAGGATGGCAAGTCTCCTCCTGCAAAGACCTTTGGCTGGGGGCTACAGTCCAAGGGGGAGAAGACCACTCTCCCTAAGGAAAGAGTCACTCCTTACAATGTCAAACTGAGTTATTGCTGCTTCTTTCTCCTCCTCTGCCTCCTCCCCCTGCAACTGCTGACCCTGTGGGCGACATCAAGGAAAGGGGTAGAGCCTGTGACCTTGGGCTCTGTTCACCAGGGATGTCCAGGGGGCAGTGTGGTAAGGGGAGATGGCCCCAGATTTGGCGAGCCGGTCCAAGGGCCCTGGTACAGTAGTCTGTGGGAAGGTGAAACCACCTTGCTCCGTCAGTCAAGGACAAATCTCAGCCAAGTTATCCATCGGCTGTGTGGCCTTGCACACTCTCACTGGGCTGGACATGGGGTCCTCTTTGCGACCCTTCTGCTGGAGGTGTGGCTTGAAGCAAGTGCAGGCTTCTAGGCACATTTCTTGATACCATCCTGCTCTCCGCCGATTATATCTAGTAAGTGGTCTCAGCGGCTTTAGGAGTTCATTGTAGCCTGTCCTTTTGCTCACTGGGGCAGATCAGTGAGGCACTGGGTGGCGTCCTGGCGAGCCAGTCAGAGGATAAAACCATAGAACACAGGGTGAATAAACGCAGGAGGGGCGAGGGTTTAAGAACAAGTAGAGGGGAAATGCGAGAGGGCGACCAGTTCATTCATGGGAACAGGCCCAGAAACCTGCTCTCTAGCTCGTGGCAGAGTCCATGCCAAGAGGACAGCAACTGCTGACCCCTCCTTTCCCAGGTGGCTTTGGTCAGGCACGTGTCACTCGCTGGTCATGGCTGCAAGATGGTCTGGAGTTCTACAGGTCTTCTTCAGGTTCTGCAGGTCTGGAACTCCCTTAAGTACTGGTCAGCAAATGGGGCAGGTGTGGCAGCAATAGCAGGGGCAGGGAACGCAGCAGAAGGGTGTGTTCCGGGTGGCCATCTCGCCCAGCACTCACACGCGAATTCGGCCACGCGCAGCCCGGTGCCCCCCCTGTCTCGGAGTGAGGCGGAATAGCACCGGGGGACGTCTTCGAATTTGGCGCTGCCCCAAGCGACCTGCTCGGCGAATCAGTGGTGGTGAACTGTAGAATGGTGAATTGGTACCTGGAAGGCCCTCCAGAAGTGGGACTCGGTTCTGGTTCCTCCGTCTGCTGGGCTGTATTATGGGAGGTGATGCCTCTAGGAAATTTTCATGATAGTAGCCAGAAGTCTGAGATGAAGCATTGGCATAGGTCGGCTCCATCTCCATCAGCTCATCTAGGTCATCGTCTTGGGTCTCATCCTCTGTCTCTTGCTCCTGTTCTGGCTCCCGCTCTGGTTCCTGGCCCCCATCCTCATCATCTTCTTCCTCATCTTTATTCTTCTCTTCTTCCTCATTCTTCTTCCTCATCTCCTCCTCTTCCTCCGCCTCCACGTCCACCTGCTCCTCCCCCTCCACGTCCACCTCCTCCTCCTCCTGTTTTTGTTTCATCTCCTTCTCCTTCTTCCTCATCTCTTCCTCCTTCTTCCTCCTCTCCTCCTCCTCCTTCTCCCTCATCTCTTGCTGAATAGCTCTCACACGCCTCCGCTGGTCCTTGTCGTAAAGCCTGCGCCTGCGTGCCTCTTCATCTTCATCCCCACTGTAGTAGTCTTCTTCACTTTCATCGATATTAGAGTCTGCAGCAAAAGGGAAGAAGATATTGCGAACCCCAGGGAGCGGGACTGGCTTGGGGACACGCACTTTTCTTTCTATCTCCACACATTCGAGAATCAGCTCATCCAGGTCGGCCATTTCGGTTGACCATAAGAGCTCCTTGCGGAAGAATTCTGACAGGCCCTTGAGGAATTGGTTTTGAAGGCGGCAGTCATCCCAAGACAAGAATTGGGCCAGGAACTGAAAGGCATCTGCATAGCTGCCGAGGGTACAGTCTCCCTGCTTGAGCTTGCGAATGGCCTTTTTAGCCACACTTGGGGGGATGGGGCCACGGAATTCCTTACGGATTTCATCCAGGAAGCGCGGGAAGTTGGCATGCAGGGGGCTTCCCTCCTGGGTGACTGAGACGGCCCAGTCCTTGGCTTCACCAGTGAAAAAGGAGATCAGAAAGGCCACTCGCTCAGCGCCCCCGGGGAAATGATCCTCATGGTCGGCTATGAAGGTCTCTAGCTGCATGAGGAACTCAGCCAGGTAGACTGGGTCTCCTGAAAAGGGCTCTATCTCAGGCCGCTCCAGCGGCGGCAGAGGAGGCTGCGAGGGCAGCTCCTTCGATGGGGGCGGAGGCAGCGCCGGCGGGGGCGGGATGGGCAGCGGAGGAGGGTCGGCCGGCCCGTCCGAGGTGCCGCAGTCCTGGATCACGCTAATCAACAGTTCGTCCGGGGCATACTCGGGCTCCGCGCGTGGGGGAGGCCAGCACAGGAAGGGCAGCTCGCCCTCGGGAACGGCGTCGATCTCACTGAGCGGGAACTCAAAGTTCTCCTCGGCAAGGACGGGCACCACGGGCACTGGCCAGCGGATGTAGCTCGAGACATTGCCCCGCAAGGAATTAACCTCGGCCAGGGCTCTTCCGAGCTGAAGACCCAAATTGGCATTCTCCCCGCGAAGGGCATTTAATTCTTCTCGCAGGGCCACGTTCGCCATGCGGAGGCTATTGAGATTTCCCGCCGCCTCGGACATCTGGGCTGGCTCGGGCCCTGGGGCTGCCGGCGAGGGCGCGAGAGGGCTGCTGGGGGCCGCGAGAGCAGGCCGAAATGCGGCGGCGGCGGCGGCGCGCGGGAGGGGAGCGAAGTGCGGCGGCGGGCGCGGGAGAGGCCGAGCCACACCCACCGGGGCAAAGGGCCTGGCGGCTCGGCCCGGGGCGCGTTACCTCGTCCCGGGGATGGAGAGGCGGGCGGAGGCCGCGGACGGCGAGGCGGCGGCCGGGCGGGCGGAGGCTGGCGGCGGGGAGGAAGCGGCGGCAGCGACTGCGGCAGGATCTGTCGAGGAAAATCTTGCGGCGAGCGCCTCCCCGCCTTTTAAGCGCAGCCTCGCGCCGCCCCCCACCCCCGGCGGGGCGGGTCTTCGGGCTCCGCGGGCGCCCACTGGCCGCCGCGCGCCGCTCCCCCCGCTCCCCGGGCTGTGCCTCTCACTGACTCTCTCCTTCCCTAGCTGCAGCTAACTCGGGTCGGGAAAATGCGACAGCGACTGCCCACTCGAGGTCGTCATGGCGACAGCCAGTGAACGTGTTCCTCTCCTCGGGCAGGCCCCCGAGTGTAGAGGAGCTGCTTCGCGAGGCGCAGCTCAATCTCCAGAGCCTGTTGCAAGGTACTGAGAGGGAGGGGGGCTGCGGCCGGAGCCCACAGGCGAGATGCGCAGCGGCTGGAGGGAGGCAGAGAAGCAGGAGGACAGGGAGCAACGAGAGAAAAAGAGAGAACAGTTTAAAACCTAGTGAAAAACAAAACACACGTTTTCCATCTTTCGCCTGCCAGACGAATGATTCGAAAAGGCTCTGTTTCTACCTATTTACCTAGGCTGTTGACCTCCCCTCCCGACTTTGCTCAGTTCAGCAGTCCATGGGGAAAAGGGGACAGAGGCTGAGGCAGGATCAAGCCGTCTACAAAGAGAGCTGGATGATAGACTCCCACAGTGTGGGCCCACATGCCCTCCAGACCTTCTCTTGCCACATCACCCACGCCTTTGGATTCCTGGCACCTAAAGACAAAGGTTTCCCACTCTGGGCTTCACTCGTTCTGCTCTTACAAGAACCTTGTCCACATGCCTCCTGGGGGGCTTCTGCCTCACCAAAGGAAGCCTCACTACCCAGCACCCGGAGCTCACCTCATCCCCAATCCCCAGCCCTGTGTCTGTGGAGTATACTGATGATGAGCACGTTGTACGCAAAGCTGGGTCCACATGACCCAGAGAAGCAGCCCAGTCACAGTGCCTGAGCAGTCAGACTGCACGCACCAGGCCAAGTGAGAAAACCCAGACTTTGAAATCAGACAGAGCTTGAGTCTAATTCGAATCCCACATCTAAATAGCTGTGTGACATTATGCAGATTACCAAACCTCTCTGAGCTTCAGATTAATCAGTCATCTTTAAAACGGGGATTCCAATTCCCCACATGGCAGTTTTGTGAGAAGTAAAAATAGAGTGTATGTAAACCACTTAGCAAGAGTTCCTTGCAGCTAGAGAGACCCTGATAAGATGTAACATCAACTCCCAGTACATGTCCTTTGGAACCTGGGCTGAGCTAGGCACGATATTAAAGTTAATATGAAAGAAAAATACAGCGTGGTCCCTGAATGAAATCCATACATACAATACGAAAAACCTACACAATGGCCAGAGGGATTTATCCAATGTAAGTGGCAAAAAGATGAAAACTCAGTGCTATGAGAGAGACTACTAGGGTGCTGCAAATATCTGGATGGAGGTCACCAGGGGCACACATGTGTCAAAATTTACTGAACTGCACACGTAAATTTGTTCACTTTACTGTAGGTAAGTTATATAGTATCTCCATAGAATAATTCAAATAAAACCTCAGTGCTAGTCACAAGCTCCGTACACGCACCAGGCACTCACTGTCCCATTCGGGCCTCTCTTCCAAGCCTGGAAGCCCTTCCTCCCTCTTCCCCACTCCAATCCTTACACTTTCTTCAAAGTTCTATTCTTGCTGCAGCCAAAGCCCTTTAACACGAGTTCTGCATTTTGCATCATCCCCTCCATAAGCACTCAGACGAGGCACGTTGCACCGTCCAGTTCAAGAGGACCTGAATAGTTCTGAACTGCTTTCCTTTCATTTGTTTACTCATTTACTCATTCACCTACTAGCCCTGGGTCTATATTTTGTCCACCTAATCAGACTGAGCTTCTCAATGTAAAGAATCACATCTCTTACTACCCTTGGGTTTCCAGAAGCACCTGGCACAGGGCTGGATCCCCAAGAGGTGCTCAGCAGACATTTGTTGAGTGGATGTTCAATGTGAAAAGAGGTCTTATCAGCTCTCGTTTATCCATACCGATAAAGGCTGGCTCTTCTGGAGATTAGGAAACCACAGATGCGCCACTCAACTGGACTACAGCCATAACCCCCCCTCCCTGCCAGGGCAGTGGTGACCTTAGAGAAGCAAGATTCCAAGGGACACCAAGAGCTTTGTGTTGAGATAAGAGAGGAGCTACCATGCAGAAAAAGAGAGTCAGCAGCTCTGTGTCGCCACCAGGGGCAGAATCAGGACTGGTGGGTGGAAGCCTAGAGGGAGGTAGATTTCACCTCAAGATAAGGAAGAATTTCCTGACATGCCTGACAGCCCCAACTGTCTCTGGATGGAATGAGCTGCCTTGGGAGGAAGGCTGCCTCCCTTCTCTGAGCTGTGTGTGGAGGCAGAAGAAGAACCTGGAAGGCCTGCTGGGGAGGAAGTCTGAGCCCAGAGTGGGGCGTTGGACCAGAGAACGTTTGCAACCCCTCCTGATTCCAAGTTTCTGTGATTCTTAAAGTCTTCATTCAAATGTGCATAGAGCCCTGCCTGTTGATTCTTTCCTTTCACTTCCTTCATTTACTCATCGAATTCATCACTTAAATGAAACCCGCTCAAATCTATGCATCCTTCTTATTCCCTGAGGATGGCCTTGAACTTCTCCTTCCTTCTATGCCACTACCTCTGCCTTCCCTCTCCTTCACCTTAGCCCCCCTGGACCTGACACCACCCACAGTGGGACTAAGGTGCCAGGAACCAGGCCCTCGGAGTCTCAAGTAAGAGTTCTTAACATCCAAGGAGCACTCCACACTGGACTTCCCGATGCGGACGTCTTTGAGCTTCACACAGGTCCTTTCCTTGGTAGGGCTGCACAAAACCTGAAGAGCTGCAGGGCTTCCAAGAGAGGACCTTGTAGCATAAAGTAGCAAAAGGTGTCTGCATCCTGAGTTTCTTCTCTGAGTTGAGCACTTAAGGTGGGGACCATTGAGACAAGGGCTTGGTCCCAGAACCAGCACAACGCAAATTTATCGACTCTCTTTTCTCTTCGTCCTTCATAGTCCCGGGAATTAAGCATTTTTTCATTTCTGAATCCAGAGGCTCAGACGCCAGGAATATCCTAAAGAAACAGTGCAAGTCAGGCCTGGCAGCTAGAGCAGGAGCCCGTCTCATGGTCCTTCCCCAGCCCAGCTCTTGGCCGTGGCCCCCTAGAGTGTGTACCCACTGTGCTATTTTTCAGAAGAATATGAGGAACAGTACTCGGAGGCCAGACTTCTGGGGCAGACCTTCCGCTCTGCTGACGAGGCCACTGAGCCCACCCCCAGCCCAAGGCCCCAGTCTGCCAGGCGTCTGGAGTTTGTATTGATGGTGAGTTGCCTCTCCCCCCACCTGAGAGAGCCAGCACGCAGAGCTCACCCTGCACCCATTGACAGGCGACCTTGAGTTGTTTACATTACCCATTGGAAGCTGCTGCTCACCTCTGCTCACCAGCAGAGCTACCTGAGGCCCGGCCGAGATGGGCCCTGCACAGCAGGTGTCCAGCCTAGCAGCCTGTCCACGCTTTCCTGCCTCCCAGACAAAGCCTCTGACCACCCTGCCTAGACAGCCGTCCTGTGAGCACCACTCATCCCCAGTTGGAAGCACACCCTTCCCATCACCTTCTTTCCCAACAGCCTACAAAACGGCAGCTGAGCGAGGATGAGACTACCACCCAGGGTGTGAGGGCCCCTGAGGCCTCCCTGAGCCTGTCTACCACAGCCGACAAGCAAGCTGCCTGGAATAGCCCCTTCCCTCTGCCCATCCTAGAGGAGAAGCGGTGGCTTCAGCCCTGCTCCACGCACTCTGACATTGTGCCCATCAACATCTCTGGTAGAGTTGCTTAGCCCCACCTCTGTTCGCTTCCCTCCATGCCGACTACAGACCATTCTGTCCAAATGCACTGGGTGCTGGGGGAGGGAGGGAGACTTTCTTTGCTGCTGGCTCACCCTGCACTGTCAAGGTCATGGCTGTCACCAGGGAATGGAGGCATGCAGAAGAGGGGCCTCTGGTTGCTCTTTCTTCACTCTCTTCTGGCACTGCCATGGCTAACTGAGACCATTTGATAGCAAACAAAATTTTCTTAACAGAAAACTCTAAAACTTGATGAACTTGTGTGCTCTTTGGAGCATCTGTGAAAACTGAAAGTTTGTGAGTTATGTTTGCTTTGGAGAAAGAAAGCTTCTTGTGCCACAAGCCAGGTTTGGAATACACAGATAGGAGTCAGAGGGGAAGTGTGGTGTTCAGCTGGTGGAAAAAGCGAGGATCATACCCAGGGCACAGACCGAGGGCCTTGTGGCACTTAAGGGAGACACTCAGTCTTCCAGTGAGGTGGGACTCCTCAATGTGTGTGGCAAGTGTTTAAAAAGGGAAGCAATAAGGGCAGGCCTGGTGGCATAGTGGTTAAGTTCGTGCACTCCGCTTTGGCAGCCTGGGGTTCGTGGGTGTGGATCCCGGGCGTGGACCTACACACTGCTCATCAAGCCATGCTTTGGCAGCGTCCCACATACAAAATAGAGGAAGATTGGCACAGATGTCAGCTCAGGGCCAATCTTCCTCACCAAAAAATCCAGAGAGAGAGAGAGAGAGAAGGGAGGTAATAGAAAGGGACCAAGGCAAGAAAGACCAAAGGGGGACCCAATACTACCTTGAAAGTGGGGAAAATGAGGTATGCAGCTCAGCTGGCTGTGACTTTGGGGTCATGTGGCACCCTATACCATGCCTGTTATTAATTCATGCTCCACACTCCACCGGCTGTAAGGGGAAGAGGAGGAGGGTCAGTCATTTCAGAAGGAGATAGGGGCAGCAACCTAATGAAATCGAGACCTCATAACCCAAAGGGACCAGAGGCACCCTGTGAGCCGGCCCCAGCCCACAGAACACTGGAAAAAGTTGATGAAGATGATGAGGACAGCTCTGGCCACGTGTGGTGATGCTCCCTGGATATGGGGTCATCCAGCACCCCTGGCATCATCTCTGGAAATCAGAGGCAGAAAATAGAGCTCAGAGCCTAGGGAGATGTACCAGGAGGAGTGAGGGCTGAGAGGAGAGACTCACAAAGTGATGGTGGGCGCTTTGTTTCTAAACTTCTATCTTACTCTCAATAAGGCTGGCCCTGAGTTTTGCCCACAGAGCCACGTTCGGGGGAGGGGAAGCGGGTACATATGTAGCCTTGGGGCTGAGAGGGGAGGGTTTGGTTAGCCATCTGCTGAATGAGAGGTGGTGGGTGGAGCAGCATACCTCACCCCACCGCATCACCCTGCCCCAGCAACTCCACAGGAGAAAAACTGGCCCAGTGCTTTAAGAAAAGTAGATAGCAATCTCTAGGCAGGAGCACACTTTGATTAAATGTGGTCAGGTGGCTGAAGCACAGACTATCAGGCTGCTTCCTGGATGGTGGGGGGCAGAGGGCCGCTTCTTGGAGACACTGTCCTCACCGGCCCATATAAAGGCTTTCTCTGAGAAAAGGTTACAATCAGGCAACAACTAGTCTAACCGTCTCTCTACACCAGTGGTTCTCACCCCAGGCTGTACATGTGAATAATCAATCACCTGGGGAGTTGGAGAAAAAGGTTTTTGCCCTGGCCCTACTCCCAGAGAGTTAAATGTTCTGGGGTGGGGTCTAGGTATTGGAGTTTCCAAAGCCGCCCGGTTTATTTCGATAAGGAGCCAGGGTTGAAGACCATGGCTCTCAGCCGCCTAAGACTCACAGGTGACCCTGAGTGTGGCCTATGAAAGCCAGCATGTGTGTCTTGGGGCTGCGGGTGCCTGGGGCCAAGTTGGGAGGGATGGGGAAGAAGGACCTCCTGCCTGAATGCTATTCATGCTCATGCTACTGCCATCATCCCTTCTCTCCACCTCAGGCCAATTTCCACTGTACTGTAAACAGAAACCAGGATGTACCCAAGTGTCTTTATTTTGGCTACAGGGCAGCAGTTTGATAAACATGCAAGTTTGCGACACTCGTTGTTTAACACAGAGACAGCCGTGAACCCCAAGTCCACCCTGAGGCGGAGGCGGACCATTATTGGATTCTCTAACTTTTCCCAGCGAGACCCAGGTGACCCCCCCAGCAGATCCCCCAGACCTTTCCCCTTGCTCGCTCCCACCCGTCCCGCCACCCGGGTGGTATTGCAGTGATGGGGAACAGGAATAATTCACAGGGGGAGGGCTGTGGACATCGTGAAAAAGCCAATCTGGTAATTAAGGGTAACCGAGGGCCTTTTGTCAGGGGTAGCAACCAAATATGCAGAGCAGGCCTCCCAGGCTAGTAAATTCATTATGTTATTGTTTCCCATTATAAATAGAGTATAACCACATATGTCAAATTTAGGCAAATAGACAAAGGAGGGACTCATCACTAAAAGCACCATCTTAACAGAGCCATTGCTGCCATTAAGTGAGTGCTGGCCACAGAGCACAGACCAGAGAGACGTGGCTGTGAATCCTGGCCTCTCCACTTCCTAACTGGGAGGCCTTGGCCAAGTTACGTAACCTCTCTGAGCCTCAGCCTCTTCATCTGTGAATTGGGGATAATGATACCAACCCGGTGATGTTGTCGTGAGGATTAGAGTCATTGTATGTAATTTGCCTACCATATGCCTAGTACAGAGCAGGCGTTCAAGAAATGGTGGCTGCTATTATAAATCACCATCGTAGTAGCAGTAATAATAATCATAATAATGATATCACAGTAATAATTATTGTGTAGATGAGAAGGTCTTTGGGGATTTTGAACATCTGAATGGTTTCCCCACATCTGTAGGTTATCCTAAGTCTCTCCTGCCACAAAGGTAAAAAGTGACAGGTGCCAAAAACACAACCAGACTCGGAGCTTTCCAGCTGTGGCATTCTCCAGATGCATTGTTGGAGCTGAAAGTCACACAGTGCTGTCCTTTATCAGTTTGAAAGCCTCTGCTCTCATCTCAGGAGAGGTGAACGCTGAGGTCTGTAATGGTTTCATGAGCCTGAGGTGAAAGCACAGGAAGAACCCAAGGTAGTCCCACCTGCCACTTCAGCTCTAAAAGGAATAATCCAAGCTGGAAAGGCTTTGGCAGTCATCTGGACAAGTCAAGGGCACCCTGTGACTCACTGTGTAGTGATGGGCAAGGACCCAACTTCCCCAGCATCCTCATCTATGGAGAGGAAGAACCAAGGAATTCTGACCAAGCTGTTGGCAAATGCTTCTTGGCATAAATTTGGTGTTCCCATCTTGACACAGATGCTGAGGGATCCCTGGCTGCACCACTAACATTCTGTATTTACCTCCTCCAGGTCACAGCAACAGCCCAGCAGGCAGTGTGGCCCACTCTACCACCTCAGACATCAGGCCCAGTCATTCAGCTCCAGAAGGTGTTCATGGAAGAGTTGCAGTTGGTCAGGAAGCTCAGTTCTCAAATCTCACCTCGCCAGTACTGAGAAATCCTTCTAGCGACCCAGAAGAACTTCTCCAGGCACGTGGTGGCACAAACCCTCCTGGCATGGAGAGCATGGGAATGGTGTACAGCGTCCCCAGTTCTTGCAATGGACCAACAGAATCCACATTCTCCACTTCCTGGAAGGGAGATGCTTTTACCTACATGACTCCAAGTGCCACTAGTCAGAGCAATCAAGTCAATGAAAATGGAAAAAATCCTTCCTCTGGGAATTCTTGGGTCTCTATGCACACACTGCCACCTCTGGTTCCTAAGGAGGCTGCTACCCTCTTTGTTACTCGTGATAACCCAGCAGGATGCAGTGGGTCAGCTGGCTACTCTGAGCACCCTACTCAACGAAGGCAAGTGTTGGAACGACCCTCCAAGATTGGCCTTCTGACTGGTGGTACCTCGAGGCTGGAGACAGGCCCAGGTGGGGCCAGCAGGTTCCGGGAGCGGTCACTGTCTGTGCCCACAGACTCAGGCACCACAGATGTGGACTATGACGAGGAACAGAAGGCCAGTGAAGCCTGTGCACTGCCTTATGCCAGTACAAGCTCTGAGGGCAGTAACAGTGCTGACAACATTGCCTCCCTTAGTGCCCAACAGGAGGCCCAGCATAGAAGGCAGAGGTCCAAGAGTATCTCACTCAAGAAGGCCAAAAAGAAGCCTTCCCCACCAACACGTAGTGTCTCGCTGGTCAAAGATGAGCCAGTCCTCTTGCCAGAATGTGGATCAGCACTACCCAAGGACCAGAGGCCCAGAAGCCTTTGCCTCTCCTTGGAACGCCAAGGACATCACTCATCCCACCTGGATGCTCAGGGTCATCCAGCTGTGCCAACCTTCAAAGATCCAGAAGGTACACAATTCTCCCACCACTGGTATCTTACTGACTGGAAGTCCGGTGACACCTACCAATCTTTGTCCAGCTCCAGCACTGCCACTGGCACCACAGTCATTGAGTGCACCCAAGTTCAGGGCAGCTCAGAGTCTCTTGCCTCCCCTTCCACCTCCAGAGCCACTACGCCTTCTCAACTCTCCATCGAGGTGGAGGCCAGGGAAGTATCTTCCCCAGGAAGGCCCACTGGGCTGATGTCACCCTCCAGTGGATACTCCAGCCAATCAGAGACACCAACACCCACTGTCTCCATGTCCTTGACCCTGGGCCACTTGCCCCCTTCAAGCGGCAGTGTCCGAGTGCGTCCAGTGGTACCTGAGAGGAAGTCATCGCTACCCCCGACATCGCCAATGGAGAAAATTTCCAAGTCACGGCTATCATTTGACCTACCATTGACTTCTTCAACCAACCTCGATCTGTCTGGGATGAGTATCTCCATCCGAAACAAAACCAAGGTGAGCCGGCATCACTCAGACACAAATTTTGGGGCCAAGCTGGTCCAGAAAACTAGCCCCAACCAGCCAATCATGCCCATGGTTACTCAGTCTGACCTACGTTCTGTTCGCCTGAGGTCAGTCAGCAAATCTGAGCCAGAAGATGACATCGAGAGCCCTGACTATGCTGAGGAATCAGGAGCAGAAGTCTTCACCTTGCCAGAAAGAAAGATGAAACCTCCCATAGCTGAGAAGCCCCCACTGGCTCGAAGGCCTCCAAGCTTGGTCCACAAGCCACCATCTGTCCCTGAGGAGTACTCACTAACTTCGCCTGCCTTGGCTATGACCCCCAAGAGCTCAGTTCAACACATGAGGCCACTCCCTCAAGACATCTACACAGTGGTGCGGAAACCAAAGTCCTCCAGCTTCCCTGAGGGCAGAAGCCCAGGGGAGTCCACAGCACCCTCATCTCTTGTTTTCACACCTTTTGCCAGTTCCTCTGGTGCTTTCTTCTCAGGAACACAGCAGTCTCCCCAGGGAAGTATGGAGGATGAGGGCCCCAAGGTGAGAGCCCTGCCTGAAAGAATTAGCCTCCAGAGCCAGGAAGAAGCTGAGAAAAAGAAAGGCAAGATTCCACCTCCTGTACCAAAAAAGCCCAGCGTGCTGTACCTGCCTCTCACCTCCCCCACAGCTCAAATGGAGGCCTATGTGGGCGAACCAAGACTGCCTCTCAGCCCCATCATCACCCTGGAAGAAGATGCCAAGTGTCCCCCCACTGGAGACCATTTGCAATCACCTAATACAAGGCCAACTTCAACGCCACAGGCTGACGGTGAAAGGGAGGCAAGCCCTCTGGGTTAGTAAACTATCTGCTGGCTTTTCCCTTCAATCCCAGGAGAGATGGGAGTGAGGATGGAGTGCCAGAGACAGAAGCAAATACCCTCGAGTAATGATCCTGATCCCAGGATGACCAAGTCAGTGGGGGGCACCTCTTGAGGGCCTGGGTTACTCTAAATAGGCCTCGCCGTCCTTGGGATCAGGACTGACCAGTTTGGCCCAGTCTACCCTGGAACCCCCAGTGCTGAGATAATAAAATCAAACTATGTCTTAGCACCCTAGGACCTTATGAACCCATCCACCTGGTCGGGCGTGCATCCCTTGCCCTGGGGACTCTCTCTCCGCCTCACTGTATGTAGAGTATTTCTCACCAGCTGCGCTGAATACAGTTTCACGCACAGGACTCAGTACCCTCCCAGACTGAGTTCACGTGCGTGGCAGGCTTGCAGGCTTCTGAAGCAATGGAATATGTTACTAGAAGCAGCCTTTCTTGGTGCTTTCTAGAGGGAAGGGAGCTCCCTGTCTTGGATGGTTTGGGGCCAGACCTTCCTGAAACAACAAGACTAGGCTAGATAATGTTCCTCGACCTTTTGATTTTTTCCTGTCTCTTTTTGTTTTAACTGTGGTCAAATACACATAACATAAAATTTACCATGTTAATCATTTTTAAGTGTACAGTTCAGTGGTGTTAAGTACATTGACACTGTTGTGCAACCATCACCAGCATCCATCTCCAGAGCTCTCTCCGTCTTGCAAAACTCAAGTCTGTAATCATTAAACACCAACTCCCCAGCACCCCCTCCCCCCGTCCCTAGCAACCACTCTTCTACTTTCCGCCTCTACGAATTTGACTCCTCTAGAGACCTCCTGTAAGTGGACTCATACAGTATTTGTCTTTTGGTGACTGGCTTATTTCACTTAGCATAATGTCCTCTGGGTTCATCCATGTTTCTCCTCCTTTTCTGAACTCTTACCACCAAACATCAAAATCTTAAGGCCTTCCTCAAGCTGATTTGGACTTTCAAGTAAGTTAATTCATTGTGACTAAAACAAGCAAACGAGTCAAAGCCACAGGGAATTTCAGAATATGCTTCCTCTCACTCCACAGACTCCCTCTGAGATTCAGATGGGTCCCACTCCCACCTACTCGTTGAGTCATTGCTTTAGATTGCTCTCAGCTCCTTGATTTTTAAAAACGATGCCTTTAAAACAAGAGAATGCTGAGGCAAACTGTGGTAATGGAAAAGGCATGAGAGAACAGGGACCCAGGCCGATCTTCACCGCTCACTCGACCTTGGCCAAATCACTAACCTGCTGAGCAACATGTTCCTCTGCGAAATGGAGGCCTTGAGTCTCCGCCCTGCTGCCCTTCCAGAGTTGCTCTGAACATCTAATGAAACGCATATAAGAATGTTATAAGAATGTGCTTTGTCCTAACTATTGTAGTCAAAGTAATTTCTTCTGGTTCTTATGTCTAGGAAGTTCTATGGAACCAAACACTGAAGAAAAAAGCGTAATCAGTGATAAAACAGCCGAATGGATTGCGGAAGATGATGATGACGTGTTTGTGGCCTCACGCACAACTGAAGATTTATTTACTGTGATACACAGGTCTGGACTAATTTCCTTAATTCCTATTGTAATTGCCTTCCCTTTTGACACCAAAAGAAAAACTGCTACCTCTAAGCAGCCATTAGAATTGAAACTGGAGACTAAGTTCAGATACCCACATATGGGAACACAGTCCAGGGCCTCACATCTTTAATTCACTGACATCTTTGAGTGAAGTGGAGGAGGGGTGGGGAAGGGAGGACCAGGTGCCGAGTCAGAGGCCCCTCGTCTCCTAGCAACCGACCGGCCTATTGTGGCTCCATCTGCTCCCTCACAGCTCTGTCTACAGTCAGAGACATTTAACCCTTCACAGAATTTCTTGTACCAAAAAAATCTTCTCAAGAAGTGATGGGGCGCACCAGGCTGAGTATCAAAGCAGGAACACAGGCAAAGGGGGGCCAGATGAGGACCCAGTTATTGGACAGGGGCACAAAGCAGGGGCTTGGGGGTGAGGAAACTGGGAACAGTCCAGTTATTGGAGCTGGGGCACCAGTTCAGAACAGGACCAGCTCCCAGGCTGCCTTGATTCAGAGTCACTGAGCTACCAGCCTTGACTCCTTAAATTCTTCCTCGGTCCCAGAACCTGGGCAGGACTGAGCCTGCAGGCACAGGCCAAGTGACTCCAGCTGTGGGCATTGAAAGGAGTGCAGGGACAGGGGGCCGGACAAGGGACTCTGAGGACTTAGTGGTGAGAGAGAAAGCTGGTAAGTATGACTGTTTGCAAGGCTGCTGCAGAGAAGTTCCCAGATCATGTCACTGGCGTTCATGAAGTTATATGAAGCATTAGGAAATGGCTGCCGCACAAATTCACTCAAAGCAAACATTCTCTTATTCAGGTCCAAAAGAAAGCTGCTTGGCTGGAAGGAGCCTGGTGAGGCCTTTGCTGGCGGCAGTAGACTGAGCTCCCACTCACCAATAAGGAACACAGCTGATTCTCCAATTAGTGAGTCAGCTGCCTCTGCAGGGTCAAGTGGCGGTGCCAACCTAGATGCTGGCAGAAACGATGATTTCAAGGCCTTGCTACAGAAGAAGGGAAGCAAGGCAACTCCAAGGTCCCGCCCCTCAGCAGCCGAACTGCTGAAGACCACTAACCCGCTGGCTCGGAGAATTATCGCACAATTTTCAAAAGACTATGAAACCACCGATAACCCACGTACCTAAGCCATGGTTCAGCAAGCAGGGTTTAGTTACTAAACTTGAGTAGAGAAGAGGGAAGAGAAAGAGTTTTAAAAAGGAACCATGGAAATAACAAAAGAGCCTACATTTCTTTTACATTAACTCACACTCTGGACAGCAGGAGAGAGGCCACTTTTATCTAGAACTGAAATCATCAGGCACTTAATCATCTTCAGACATTTTGCATTTTCATACTTACAATCTTGCCATTACTGACTACCGATTTTCTCCTTGTTTTCCCCCAGTGGTGAGCACTAAGAGGAAATTCTCAGATGCAAGGGCACATGTGCCGTCTTTTCAGTCAATGACCAGGCTGCTCCATCCCTGGCTCCTGTCACCAAGGGGTGCAGGGTGAGAGCAGATTGGGGGCTGCCAAACCTGGGGGGGCATAGGGTGCCAGTGCTGAGCATTCACTTTCCTGGTAAGGCCTTGATGGCCCTGCATGGAGAAACAGAAAGACTGATGCGTCTTCAACCCTGGTTTAACTCTCCCCAAAGGGAGGTTTGCAGGTGTGCACTTATTTCGGCATGGGGTTGATTGAATGGCTTTTGTCATGCAAAATATGAATGTGTCTCTGTCCTGAACGTCATGCCTTTTTCAGTTTGATTGTCTACACGGAGATCAGGGTGATGAGTTTCAATAAACATATAGACCCTTCCCCCGACCACCCCTTAGCTAGAAAAGGTCAGGACTGGGTTGCTTTGGGTGAACCAAGCTCAGCCAACAAATGAGGCAGCCATTCGTTCACTCAGATCTAGCCAAGGTAACTCGGCATGTTGTCTGTCAACAATGATAGCTAGGATCTGTACCCAGCTCATGCTGCATTCTAAGAACTCTCGTTTCATTTGCATATAACATTCATTACAGGAAGTAATTAGCTGAAGAACAGCATCATCAGAGGCTCAAGGAGGAGAAAGGAAGTGTAACTTGCCTACCACCATTTAGTTCAGATTGTGGTCTGTGGTTGGTTTTGTTTTGTTTAAAGGAAATCTTACTCTGTTCCAAAATCGAGAACATATAGACTAAAAGAATATGTCCAAAATCTAAAAGGCAGCCTTGCAAGATGCTATGGCTCATAACACAAAAAAAGGGCTACATTTTGCCATTTAAGTTCTGTTTGACCAACTTTCACTTAACCATGCTCGGGGAGAGTGTAAGAACTGGGGTAAATGGGTTTCTGACAGACCCCAGAACAGTCATGGCGATCCCCCAGAAAGCTTATAGGCACTAACTATTCTTGTCAGTTCAATTTTCTAAGCAGAGCAAGAGCAGTGATTTATTTGATTTTCATATATCTGGTTTCTGGGAGGTTGGGCGAAAGAACAGACAAAGCATTGAACAAAGAAAACTGGCTGACCAAGAATGGAGGGTTAATTGCCCACCATTCCCAAGAGGGAAAAAGAAAAGTCAAATGAAATTGTAGCCTGTTCACAAAAAGCGCTCCCTGACCCCTTCCTCCTTCACCACCCCCCCCCCCCAACAGATTCATTGGTCAGCCTCTTGGAGGATGCAGAAACTGCCCCAGAGACAAGCAGATCTTGATTTTCATAGGTCACCTTGCTCACCAATGAGAAGCAAGCTCTTAGCTCAATGGCCCACACTCCAGTGGACAGAGCTGCTGAAAAACCACACTGAGTTCTGAGGAGATTTGGGCCTCTCACATAGAAGCCCTAGGCCTCGGTCCTTGGTCGGTACAGTTCTGAACTCTAGACTTCGGAGTACAGGCCAGGCCCACCCATCAGCACTTGCAATCAGCACTTCCCCCTGATTTAGGCAGAAGCCACTTAAAATAAGAAACAGTTAGCAAAAGTCCAGTTGCTTTCGAAAGCATTCAAACTATTTGGTTTGAAGGTCCTGACCAAATTTCAGGGATTTTGCCTGAAATACAAGAGATTCATTCCTGGCCTTAATTTATATATGAATGCCACACTTGTCTGCCCCAGACTCAGAATTCCAAAAGATGGAAAGATTTTCCTCTGTAGGGAAATGAAGGAGTGTTTGTGCTTTTGCCTAACAAAAGTGAAAAGATGCCAGGGCCTTCTCCTTGGGAACCATTATGAATAGCTGAACTCTAAAGCCGAGTATGAGACTCACATAGTATAGGACTTGTTACTTCTGCTGATTTTTATGGAAGCTTCTTGTTGTCACTTCTAGGGGGTTTACCTCTCCCCTCACCTTGATACGTCTGGTGGTTTTCCCAAAAGAATCTAAAGCTGAATGCCCAGGCAGCTTTACATTTTTCAATTACCTTGAGTCTTGCTGTCCTCTACAATACTCAGTATGTCTGGAATTTTTAATACATCTTCTACATCATCACTGTGGCCCTCAAATGCCCAGTAGTGTTCCCATTAGAGGATTTGGGGCAGAGATTGTATCATCAGAGGTAACATTCGGGACTGGAAATATTCATTAAATATTTTGCAACAGGTAGACCTAGTCCCAAACAATCACCCCCACTCTAGAATTTCTACCAATCATTGATGAACATAACTCCGAACATCTTTCCTACTCCTAACACTCAACCTCTCTCCTCCCCTTGATTATCATAACACCAACTCTCTCTCCCACTCAGGCACATACCACAGTGTTTGCTGCCTTCTGCACCTACCTGCCGAGACTGGAGAAGAAGGCTGAAAGCCCCTCCAGGAAGGCTTTCCGAGAACATACCGCTGTCACTATTACTAGCGCCAATAAGAATGATAACAACTTTTGAAGGTGGAATACAGAAGGGGTTCAAGTGAAATGAAGTTGTCTCTGGGAGGTCAGCTTCCAATTCCAGTTGTTTCTACCCCTTTATAGCTTCTGATTCCGACCAATAGCAGCAGGTGGCTCTGCTAGACTGACTTCTGTCTAGTCAGGAGTAGAGGGAGTCCTCCCCAGGAGAGGAGGTTAATTGGTAGCTGAGTGTTTTGCACTTGGTGGGTGTTCGTTATGTATTTGTGGACCAAATGTTGAAGGCAGAGAGCAAGTCATTCCCAGTACAACAGGAAGCTTCACTGGTGGCTCCGCTCCTTTGCCTGCCTCGGTCTGTCGCCTGGGTCTGCCACATGGCCCCAGCTTGTCCTTCAGCCCCAACTTCTGTGAACTGCGTCCCTAGCCGACAGCTCACCCTTTAAGGAGGCAAGACCACAAGCAGCAAAATAGTTCATGTTAGCTTAATGACCACAAATCAACCAGTTGATCTGCAGACATTCGACCTTGAATGTGCAAAGACAGAGGAGATCTACAAGGCTCTTGCAAGAAGCATTTCGCCGGACATCCATTGTAACTAGACAACACGGATCAGATTGCGATCCCCCTGAACCTATCAGTCTGAGCAGATCTGTCCATGCACCTGCCCTCTTCTTCATAAACGAACTATTCCCTAAAAAGACGCGTTCACGGTCAGTGCTCCATTCCTCACCAGTGCAGCCTTCCATTACCACCAAGTCTGTAACATAATGGTGAGCATTCACTTTAATATGATTTGCCAGGGCCAGGGCTAGAGTGAGGTGAGTGAGGCGCCTGGGGCGCAAAATTTAAGGAGGCACCCACTCTCAGGGCCGTGCAAGTGCCTTACCCTTGTCCCGGCCGTGCCATCTGCACTCTATAAAGCAGTATCAGTTTATCTTCTTCCTGTGAACAAGTACAGTTCTTCTGATTTAGGGGGGTAACTCTCCCTATCTGTTGTTGCACCAAATGTCTTGTTGCCATCTATTTTTCCATTGCTTTAAACCTTTGTATGCCTACACATCAAAGAGTCTTCAATATCATCAGAAAACATCGTTGCTTTTTAAGTAACCTGCTCCAAGTGGCGAGTTAGCACCTGTTTCAGTAGGGATGCTGACAGGGAGAGCCCTTCAGTGAAATGGTGACTGAGTTGGAGGTGTGTCATTGGGATCCTCGGTCTCCTCTTTCTGCTCCATTCTCCCCAGACTTTGCTTTCCCGCACCAACTCTCCTGAGTGCCTCCTAGTTTGTTCTCCTCCTCGCTAAGAAAAGCATGCTCTCAGGAAAGGGATCAGTTCCTTTACTTTGAGATTATAAGGCTGAATGCTACCTCTTTTGAGGGTTGCTTGCATTTTAACAGGGGAAAAGCCTTAAGCCAAAGGAATGAAGTTCTACTTATAGACTTTTAGGCATCAATTAGTTGCAGAAGTGTCTTTTTCACCATGGAAAGGCCAAATTCCCTGACAGCTAACTCCAGAATATAGAAAATACCTTAATCTTCCGGAATTATTTTAGTAAACTGCTGACGGTCGATTAAATTGTCCTGATACCCAGTGTTGTTCTATGTGGTTGCTACCAAGGGACGCTCAGAAATGGCTACTAAAAGCCACTGAGAAGGCCTAGATAATTCATATTGTACATTAACATTTTTACACAAATGGAATGAATACTACTTATCATTTGAGTAAAAGAACACAAGGATTTAAAGAGTTTGTGAAAATGTGTCCTGTTTGTGAAAGGTGAAGCTGTCCAGTGTCTGATTGATGTCAGTCCAGTACCGGTGGTGATTATTAAACTTATTGGAGGTACAACTTTATTGAACACAAGACTCTGCTTCCCCCTACACACGTCTAGGTTTTGTGCTGTCACTTCAGCTTGGTGTGAGATGAGACCAGATCTATGCCAGAGCAGCCAGTCCCTCCGAGGCCTTTGCGTGTATGTCAGCTGTAAGTGACTGAGATGTTACAGATTTAAAGGGACAAGAGAGTGGGAAAGAGGTACAAAGAACTGCCTTTGTCAGAGAGCAGCGATGATTATGATTTAAACAATGACATGAAATAAACAAAGTTTTAGAATATGCTGAAACAGATTTATAGAGAAATACAGTAGTAAATGGTTATACACATTTGAGGCTCTTTTAATAAATTTAGCAAAAAGAAACTTGCATAAGTAATGGGTTCTGTGAAATAGATATATACTGTTAGTCAGTAAGGCCCCAAATCTAGGCCAGTGGTCCTCAAAGTGTAGTCCCATGACCAGCAGCAGCAGCATCCCTGGAATGTGTGTGTGTGTGTGTGTGTGTGTGTGTGTGTGTGTGTGTGTTCCAGTTCCTTCTCCAAGCCCCTGAGTCACTACAGCCACAACTCTCCAAATGATTCCAACCTTTCCCATCATTTCTGCTGTCATCACAGTGATCCGTCTCTGGCCAAGTGATGTATATCGACATGTTGGTTAAGTATATGTTTGCTGTTAAGAAATTATCAGATTGAATCAACTACTTGTTCAACCTGCAGAACCTTTGCTTTGACTTAGCCAGCACGTCTGGCCTGTTTTTGGTTTAAAATTTTTTTTAATTCACAAATAGGAAAAATGAAAAGGTGTTAGTTTGTTTGGTTTTGCCAACCCTTAACTACCTGTCTTCATCAAGGTAGCTGTTCTCTAGCAGGGCTCTGGCAGAAGTATGTTTGATTTTAAGATTTTGCCTAAATAGTGAAATTTGATCTCAACAGATCCACAAACAAAATCTGAACTGGAACAACCAGTTAATGACTCTTAGCCTCTCTTTAATGCCAAGCTTTATAGAAATTTATTCCCTACATGGTGTTGAGCTTTTTTTAATGTCCAATTTTATAAAGTGTTATGCATGCAAATGCAGCATCGTGCTCATTGTACAATTCACCCCAAACTCATTTCCTTCTCCATATGTATGATGGTGAAGAAATATCAATATGTATGTTCTTACCTCTCCTGATCAATTGTAAATTACAAATCTTTTCATTAATTTTTAAATGAGATATATTTACTCTGGCTAGTAGTTAAAATTTTATTCTTTTTATTATATTTCATTGCTACTCTTTTCTACTGACTCCAAAGCTTACTTTGGGGAATATTTCTTATTTCTAGATTGTTGTATTTATCTTATTTCTATATTTATCTGTAGTCATGGAATGTTAGAGCTGAAAGGGACCAATCTCTTTACAGATGAGGAAACTGAGGCCCAGAAAGGTCACATAACTTACACAAGGTCACACAGTGTCAAAGCCGAGCCTCAGGCCCAGGTCTCGTCTCTGGGCCTAGTGTTTTTTCATTTAAAGCACTACACTTATAGAAGACCCACAGCTGGCTTCTACTTTTATGATACATGAATTTCCCAGGTATTTCAGTGAACTAGTACATATGCTTTAAGGAAAAATGCTCAAGAGTTCTTTAGTTCATGAATCCAAAGACAAATCTGATTTTCAGCGTACAAACATTCGTTTCCCTCCAGAGTCATTATTTGTACCCTACTTTGTACGACGGATGTTTTCCCTAAAAGTTATTTGATAAATGGATTTTTATAGATCAAATTCCATTTTTTAGTAGAGAAGGTTCCTATGTGAGGGAATCTTCTGGTGACTTCTTTTGAAAAACGAAGAATCCTCTTGTCAATGTCCCCTAATGTCTCTACTTTTTTTTTTTAGTGTGAACTTCTGTAATTGGTGTTTATTTAAAGTAGGGCAAACCAATATAGGTTTCCCTAGAATCTACTTTATCCTTCCCTTCTTAAACTTTATGAGATATTTTCAGACCATTCGATGCTCATAAGATACTTAGTTGTGTTCTAGAAACTTCACCTAGCTTGATATTTTGTCAGTCCCTGGGCTCAATCTCTATCTCCACCTTATCAAACAATAACAGAATTGCTTAATCAGTACTGAGCTCTGCATGCAGTCTCTTGTCCAGAACATTCTTTGCCTAATGCTCCTTAGTGTGACTCTCTATCTATTCTTGGGCTTCTTTCCATAGTTCACGAGTACCTCACTATTCTGTGGCGTTGGAGGCAGTGACGCTTTAGGGCTGTCCTAGTCACGTGGAGTGGTATTTCCAGTTATTTCCATTATTCCCTTGTTTTTCCTGGACCTCCTCTGTTTTCCCTTTTCAGAAATGCTCAGAGATTGGTGGGATTTTTCCCACCATCTAGACCAGGGGTTGGCAAACTTTTTCTGTAAAAGGCCAGATAGATAGACTCTATTTTAGGCTTTGGGGCCACATATGGTCTCTGCACCATATTCTTTTTCTTTGTTGTTATTTCTATCACTTTAAAAATGTAAATTCCATTCTTAGCTCTTGGGCCATACAAGCTGCAGGCTGCATTTGGTCCACCTGTCATAGTTTGCTGACCCCTGGCCCAGACTATCTTCTGGGACAGGCATTTCTGTGACTGACCCCATGTGATAACTAGGTTGTGTACTGGATGATGTGGTTCACTGCCCTCCTACCTACTGCATTGTCAGACCAGTCTGCACAGAGTGGGCTGGAGAGGGGCCACATATGCCAACCACTACTCTTCGATAGGGTGCCCTTCATGGACTCTCTCATTTTCTCTCTCTCTCTCTCTCTCTCTCTCTCTCATTCTCACTCTCTCACTGACTACCTCAGTGTAGAAACCCTCATTCTTCTATCCAGACCTCCTGTCCTGGTTATCCAGTGTGCCTCTGCTTCCTCGAGTTTGGGGTAAGCTGGCAGGAAAGAATGGATTTCTGAGTTTTCTTATTTCTTTTGTCCCATGATTACTCCCCCAAACTGTGGTTGGGGACCCCTGCCCTGGGTTATCTCACCTGCCCTGCCCCATGCTGCCATCACAAGTTTAGGGCTGTCTCTGGAAAGTTTGGTGGCCCAGGCAATGAGATTCCAGTCCAGTCTACAATTTCCTAGGGAAATCACCAGCTCTCTTGGTTCCAACGACTGGTTTTAAAACCCAGAATGTCCATGTGTCCAATTTCTAATGTGATTAGGACCTGTTCTAGACTCAGCCCCAGCAAGAAAACCAATGAGGTACAGAAGGTATTCTGTGCCCATGGTTCTTCCCTGCCTAAACCCCTGCCTCCTTGTCCCCCAGCCCCCAAGATGGACCCCTTGGGATGCTCCATGCGGCACCATAACAAGCAGGCATTCAGCACACCGTGGCCTCCGGGCTTCTGAACCTCTAAAAGGATTCCCTAAAGCTTCTTCACATCTCTCTCCATCTCACTCCCATCTCTATCTCTCATGCTGCTTGGGGGTTTAAAGCTCAGATTCACATTTTCACGTTTGCTCGTGTAAACACTTGGGGATATGAGTGAATGAGAAGGTATGGGCCTGTGTGTAAGAGCATGGTTTCTCCACTTGGACTGTGAAGGCCCTATTCACTAACGGATCACACACACATCCCACCCAGTGCTCTCATCAATTCTCTGGTCCAGTCCAGGTCTGATGAGCCTGGTTAGGAGAAGGGGCTAGTGGGGGCTCCTGAGGCATTTTTCTTTTCTTGTCTTTTGAAACCTCCTTTCCACTGGCTTGTGCTGCCTTCTCCCAGGAAGCCATTTCAAGAAACTCCTCTGTGGCAATTCTGGACAGGCCGACATACAGAGAGCTATGGACTCAGTCACTCAGACACACCTCTCAGGCTGCAGTTTTTCCCATCTAAGCAAATTCCTTTGTAGGACCTTTAGCTTGCTTTCTGTCATTTGAGCCCAGGGATCTACCCACTTACTGAAATCTAAATTTTAAAAAGTCAGAGACATGAGTAACTTTGAGGATTTCCCTATCTAAAAGCATCCATGAAACGGTTTCTTTCTGCCTTTTGTTTAGGATTTCCGGACTTAGGAAGGGAACAAGACTTGTGCCTTGGACTCTAAGGCAGCAAAAGGACTACACTTGCCAAAGCAAAATGAGGATGGAAGATTGGCTAGTCCTACTATGCATGGTCAGGGAATGGACTCTTGTTCAGTTAGCACTTATGGCTCAATGCTTACTGAGTGCCAACAATGCACTTAAGAAAAATAAGAGAGGCAGGAATTTACAGACCAGTGTCCTAAACTAGAAAGTAGAGATAAGGCAATTCCCCCAGTGATAAGAATCTGTCCCTGGATAAAAGTTTCAAGAAACAGCAGAAACTAGAAGAGATCATAATCCCAGTCTTTTAGAATTCCAACACAAAATGGAAGGGAGCCCTCTGTGGGGTGACATTACAAAGAGTTTTTCTTGTCTTTCTTTTTAAAAACAGAAAACATTCCTTACTGGCTTGCTACCAGCAATTGAACTGTATTCTTTATAGAGCTAAAGCTGTTTGTGTCTTCTTAAAATAAAATTTTTCTGTTTCACCCTCTGGTCTTCATTGTAGCAATGATGCCTTCGTTCAGTCACTAAGCCCAGTTTATGAGCATGTTTTACCAACCACACAAGTGTGGGGCCCACACACATGGGATTTGATTCTCACAAACCCCTGAGAGCACAAAACAGATAGGCGGGACACAGTCTTGCAGAAACCTGGTCCACTGAGCCGTGAATCTAAGCTATATGGGCAGGTAATCCATGTTCGAGGACTTCATCTCAGGGACTCAAGTTCAGTTGCTCATGGAGGCAACAAGGGGCCGCAGACAAGGCGAGGCTCTGATGAAGTGGGCAGCAGTTGCCAGGCTCCTGATGGGAGGAGGTTGCCATAGCAACTGTGCTCAGGGCATGCACTCCCTCTTTGTTCTCTGGCTCAATGAAGCAGGGCAGACCTGAGTGTGTGGGTTAGGAGCAAAAAGCACAGACCAGATGTGGCCCAAATCACTTACATCCCTCAAAAAGGGTACGGTCCCACCATGCAGGTGGTGACAGCTATATTCAAGAGTCAACTCCCATCCAGAAGGAGCTTGGTTCTCTGTTCCCAACTGGCCCAGGCCTCTAAGGCTGAGGCCCTTGCAGCCAGCATCTTGCCTCCCCAGGCCCCAGGCTAGCTCATGACCCCTGTCACCACCAGGCTGCTCTTCCAAAAAGACACAACACAGTTGGATACAACCTAGAAAGCTTACAAGGGAAGGGAGAGGGACCAGAGCTACTCTCAGACAATAGCAGGTGTTAAGATTTAAGATAAAGAGGGGCCGGCCCCGTGGTCAAGTGGTTGAGTTTGGGCGCTCCACTTTGGTGGCCCGGGGTTTTGCGGTTCAGATCCTGGGGGCGGACGTAGCACCACTCATTGAGCCATGCTGAGGCGGCGTCCCCCATAGCACAACAGAAGGATCAGCAACTAGAATATACAACCATCTACTGGGGGGCTTTGGGGAGAAGAAGAAGAAGAAAAGAAGAAAGAAGAAGAAGAAGAAAAGATTGGCAACAGATGTTAGCTCAGGTGCCAATCTTAAAAAAAAAAAAATAGATTTAAGAGAAAGATCAGAGAAGGAGCCTGGCTCTAGGTGGGCCCCATGGCAAGCAGTACTTTAGGGGTACCCTGCAGTTCAAGGTCTAGTGCTCACCTCTGCAGGATCAGAGCCTCCTTGTGCCGCCACACTGTGAACTAGGGAAGCTTTTAGCGACTGACCCACACTGACCAAACTCACAAAAAACATGTCAAAGGCAGGGTCTGATAGATTAATTAGCCAAAGAGAGAGCACACCTTTAAAGCACAGGTCACACACAGGAGGCCTGCAGGCTGAACTGGGCTCACACACATTGTCCAGAGTACACAATGTTATTTTTCAATTTTTTTCAATTTAGATAGGGCACAATCTCTCCAATTTACCAAGTTCCGCACCACTCCCTGTTAAATTCAACTAGCTTCGTTCACTTATATTCTCTGCCAGGCCTCTGAAGACATTTGAGCCTGTGACCCCTGCATCAAGGTGTTGTGGCAGGGTGAGTCCCCCGGGAAGCAGACTCTGGGACGGAGCGTGGTGTGCAGGATGTTTACTATGGACTGCCTTTGGGATGGACATCCGTGGGAGAGAAGGGAAGGAAACAGGCTCAGGCAGAAGGAAAGAAGGGCAGCAATGCAGGCACCACAAAGCCTCGGCAGACTCAATAGTGAGCTCTGGTGTTAAAATGACCTGTCAGTGTTGTCCTGTGCTGGGCCAAAGGCAAGCCTTCATGCTCCTGCTTCAGTCAGTCACTAGCTCTGGGCCACCCCACCAAGGGTCTGACCTTGGGTAAGGCACCTTTCTCCAGTTGAGGCCGTCCCCAAAGGAACTGACGGCTCAAGAAGGTTCTTTGCTGACAGCACTCCCAGCAGCGGGGCAACAAGTCCACCCTTGAAGTTCTGTGTCCATCACAGGTGTCTCTCTCCCAAGAGCAGTACAGATTAAACTCTTACAAATTCTTATTTTCTGATTCCCACTCCTTACCTTAGACATATTATGGTTCATTTTATTAGGTTTATAGCTTTCTTAAATTGTAGTCACCATCATATGATACATGCTAGTAGCCTTAGTTGGACTTTGGTGTTTCACAAGCCTCATTAATGCCCATTAACAAACCCTCTCCAAGGGCACATCACATAAGCAAATGGATGTCAATCCATCATAAAATACCAGGAATAAAATGGACTAGGCAGGGGCCGGCCCGGTGGCTCAGCGGTTAAGTGTGCACGTTCCACTTCAGCGGCCCGGGGGTTTGCCGCTGACTGCTCCTTCAGAATTTCCTTTGCTTCATCCTCCACTCTGCCTGTGAGCCTTAGAGTCCTCAGGCCTGTCTCCCAGGCCTTCTCCCCCTTCTCCATTACCAGCTTTCCCTGGGTGGTCTCATGCACACCTACTACTCCTCTCCCTGTGTTTCCCACCTCAGTGAATCATACCACCACTCACTCATCTGCACAAGCCAGAGGCCTGGGCATCTTAAATGTCTGCTTTTCTCTCCTACATCCAATAAGCTTTGCAGATTCTACCACGTAAACTTCTCCTGTATCCCTTTGTTCCGCATTTTATTTCTTGCTGCAGGGGCTCAATAAATATTGAGAAGCCTATCATTCTATTTTACTTATTTCACATGATAAAAAATGAGCCTATACCATACCAAGAAATCAGTTGCAGGTAGACAAAAACCTAAATACAAAGAGCAAAAATATAAAGCTTTTGGAAGATAATGTAGGAGAATATCTTCATGACTTCAGAGTAGAAAAGGATTTCTTAAGACACAAACCCACTAACTATAAAGGAAAAGCGATAAAATTCAACTACTTTAAAATTAGGAAAGCATTTAAAGAGTGAAAAGGCAAGCCACAGAAAAGGAAAAGCTATTTGCAACATATATAACCAACACAATACACAAAAGACTCCTACAAATTAGTCATAAACAGACCAAAAACTCAATAGAAAAATGGGCAAGAGACTTGTATGGGCTCATGATAAAAGAATAAATCCAATTACTCAATAAGTGTGAAAAGGTGCTTAACCTCATCTATCATCAAAGAAATGAGGGAGGACGGATTACAAAGGGGCAGGGGAAAACTTTTGGGGGGGAGGGGTATGTTCATTATCTGAATAGTGATTCTAGTTTCATGGATGTTTACTCACCAAATTGTCACTTTAAACATGTGCAGTTTGTTGTACATCAGTTATACCTGAATAAAGCTATAACACACACACACACACACACACACACACACACACACACACACACACAATGACATGCCATTTCACATCCACCAGACTGACAAAATATTTTCTAAGTCTGACAATAACCAGTGTTGAGGAAGATGTGGAGGAACAGAAACTCTGATACACTGCTGGTGGGGATCTAAATTGAGTCAACCAATTTGGAAAGCAGATTGCCTTTATCTATTAAAGTTGAAGCTATCCCCACCCCAGGACCCAGCAATTCCACCCCTAGCTATATATCCCAGAGAAATATGTACATATCTTTCTCGAAAGATACAGAGAAGATTCCAAACAGCATTGCACATAACAGCACAAAGTGGAAACAACACAACAGCCCATCGAGAGGAGAACAAATAACCTGTGGACTACTACACAGTGATGACAATTAAACCACAGCCACACGCAACGACATGTATGGAGCACACAAACGTGAAGTTGAGCGACAGAAGCAAGACACAAAGGAACATGGACAGTACGATTCCATTTATTTAAATGCAAAAACAAGCAGAACTAAATGCATAGATAGATGATAAAACTATAAAGAAAAGCAAGGAAATTGTTATCATAAAACTTAAGAGTATGGCTCCTTAAAGCAGGAAGGGTAAACTGTAATTGGGGAGGACACAGGGACGCTTCTGGGGTGCTGGCAAAGTTCTATTTTTGGACCCTTGGAACTATTTTTTCAAGAGTATAAACAAACTGTACATTTGTTTTAAGCACTTTTCTGTATGTATGACATATTTTACAATAAGAACATTTTTTAAAGACCCAGGATACAATTCTGAGTTACACCAAACTTAAGGGCAGGGCCGGAGGAAAAGGAGTCTAGGAAAGAGACAGGGCAGGCAGCAAACCAGGAGAGAAGAAGTTCCGAAATTTCCAAAAGGGAGCGGACGGCAGTGCCAACCCTTATCCACTCCTGCTCTGCAGGACACATCAGAGTAGGGCTGAGAGCCTCCAGCACGTGTCCTGGCAGCTGTGATAAGAATATCCTCGCACAAGAGAAAAATGAGCGAAGGCACAAAGAGCTGAGAAGAAATACTATTAGGAGGCAAACATATGGAAAATGTCTACTTTTCCTTAATGAGCAAAGACACACAAAATTTTAAAAACCGAATGGCCATTTTTTGCCCATTACAGTAGCAAAATTGAGGGGAGGCGGAAGAAGTTACAGTATGTCAGGCTGGAAAGAGTACCAAACTGATGCATGGTTACTGGCTGCTAGCACTAGGAATAAATATCATCCTTTTAAAATAAAATCTGGCAATATGCATCAGGAAATTTTAAATGCTTATGCCATTTTACTCAGTAAGCCTACTTCAGGGAATCTATGCTAGGAAAATTATGCAAAGAAAGCAAAAGGCCATATGAATGAGTCGAAAAGTGACTCAATTATCCCTCAATGAGGAAAACACTGAATAAACTTTGTTAGGCACCACTCAGTAAAAATCATAATTATAATAATGGAGAAGGAAGGAAGCTAAGATTTATTGAGTGATACTTTTTCACGTCTTATACTAAATGCATTACTTATCAGTTTAATGCAACCACTTCCAAAGGTTTTTGTTGTTACTTCCATTTAAATGTGGAGAAACTGGGGCCGGCCCCGTGGCCGAGTGGTTAAGTTCGCGTGATCCCCTTCAGCGGCCCAGGGTTTCGCCAGTTCGGGGGTTCGGATCCTGAGAGCAGACGTGGCACCGCTCATCAAGCCATGCTGAGGCGACATCACACATAGCACAACCAGGACC